ACCGGTGAAAAGCATACAGCGGCTGGAAAAAAATAGCAGACAAAAATAAAAAACGCGCGCGTTTTTCTCTTTTACTGTATTTATTGCTTTTTGGCCATTTCACGGACAATAAACTCATTTTGCATTAACCACAAAAATCAACAAACTGTGCAAAGGCGGGCGCCATCAATAGAAAGCATTCAACTGGGTTAAAATGGGATGGGTGGCAAAAGGCGAACAAGATGAATGTTTATTTGCACAGTGAAGATGTGACCCACAAAGGCCCGAGCCCAAGTAACATCAACACTGTTTTGTGCGAGCCAATATTTGTGATAAATGAAAGACAACCTCATCATTAGCATTTGTACACGCAGCCCCCAGGAATCAATGCATTGGCCCATTAATCTAAACGCATTAATGATTTAAGGAATTCATTTGTCATTTGGGTAAGAGATGCTCTCGATTTGAGCTTGGGAAAAGGGAAAATTAACTATTAATTTGAGTAAATCTGAAGATAAACTGGACTTTTAGCTGTGCAATTTGTTGTCTATTTGTCACTTCACATAAACAATGGGGAAAGGTCTAGAGTTAAGCTCAAAGATAAAATAGGTCTCCAAATCGTATTTAGGCTTTAGAAAATTAACCTCAATTAAGAGAGAGAAAACAGTAATAGCATATTGATTTCCATTTATCGCAATGTTTACTAAATCATCCATTTTTTGGAAGAATAAATTTAAAATAAAAATAAATAAATAAAAATAAAATAAAAATAAATAAATTTAAAAGTGGAAATGAGTCATATATTCTTAAATATTCTATACCTGACTAAATTAAATATGTAATTTTAGTCATTTATTTTAACAACTGTCTAACTGATAGCTTAGATCATAATCAGGTTTAAAAAGTTGTACAGCTTGAATTTGCGTTTAATATTTACCCCAAGTTCTAATATCATTTTATTGTCTAAATTTTCAAAAAAATTAAACATAATGAATTGGAGTAAATAAACTGGAAAATAGACACGAGTCCGGTATCCCGAAATTGTCAAGTTGTTTGGAAACCATTAATTCCGGTAAAATATACCCCTCAGCGCAGTTTGCTTATAGCGTACATAACCACTTTCCACTTTAGATGATTGAGTGTCCTGCGACAAATGGACAAACTTATTTGTCCACTCGTTCACAAAGCAGGCAGCCAAGTTTTCGCTTAATTTATGTCCCCAGCCGCAGTGAAAAAATCGAAAGAGGAGTTTGGTTGGCGTGTGCAAAGGCTAAAATGCAATTTGCGGGCAGCCGCAGTTACAGCAGCAGAAAATTGATTTAGCATTTATTTCCAACTCTCCGTCTGACCTACAGCGATGTTGCGGCAAGCGAAAATTTTCGGAAAATGTCATTTGAAATGTCGCCGGCGGCGGCCCCATCTTCATGCAATCATTTCGACAGGCTTTTTGTTTTTTCCATTTTAGGTACAATCGCAATGGATGAGAGATGATTCAGATCGGCTCTTGAACAATACGCTCTGATTATTCCGGTTCTTTTATTTTATATTAATTCTATTTTGCACAATTGAAAACCTATTGTCTGGTCGTGTGAGAATGCCGATTGCAAATGATTTTATGTATTTATTTTTTTGGTTTTTACGAATTTATGCTCCGGTGGCTGTGTGTTGGCTGCCTCCCATGTAAATCATGTATTTGGTGGTTTTTCACCCAATAGATATCTGTGTTAATTAATTTGGCGCTGTCATGCGAGTTTTGCCATTTCCATTTTGGCACGAACGTGTTTATTTCGCTGCAGTTTCTTTTTTGTTGCGGTATAATTTAATTAGCCGCTCTTAAATATTGTTAAAGGCCTTAACTTCTTTGTTTCGCGATACTGCCAGCTACAATACATTTGTTATTATGATTTTTTTTGAGCTGTGCTAAATAATTTGTAGAGTTTTAATTAGGTTTTTTCTCATTATTTATTTAAGCCCGTTAGTGGTTAGGTGTTTGTTTGTTTGTTCGCTTTTTTTTTTGGCAAATAGCGCGTTGAAAATCGCTTGCTAATCGCACGCAAATCGCATTCACTTTTTTCCCGCTGTGCTTTTTTGCCCTTGGGCAGATGTTCCAGAAAAGTGAGAAATTTAATTCGGCGCGTGTCACAATAAAATCAAGTTTAAAACGAAACAAAAAGCAAACACGTGACTGGAAAACCAAACTGAATTTGTAATTTTTATTTTTGTGCGAAAACAGAGAAACAGAGTGGCAGAATGTTTATAAACCCCGCTGTCAGTCATAAAATGGCATTAAAAGCAATTAGCAAGTTGCTTTATATTCAGCGCCGAACGAACATATTGCCCGGGGTAATTAAAAATCTTAAGATCTCGAGGCAAAACAATTCGAAGGAAGCGAAAGCGGAAAAACGACTCTCGACGCGTCTAAAAATAAAAACAAAAATAAATAGAGAAGCAAGTGAGATATTATCGTTGGAAACAATTTTCCCAAGGAACACGCAACAAAACGATTTGCAGGCACAGTGTTGACATCCGCCTAATTAACTTTTAAGTGAAATACAAAGAAAGTGCTCTGCAAATTGGTTGAAAACATAGTGAAACGAAAAGAACATTCACATTAACCTTTAGCCACCTAGCATGTGTGTGTTGTGAGTGTGTGTGTTACCCCCTGAAGTAGGCTAGCCAAAAAGCGTAATGAAAACGGCAATAGAGCAGGGCAAATGAGGTCAGTCCAATGCTAAGCAGTTTGGCAGGAGCAGAGCAGAGAGCTCAGCACTTTCTGGCTCTTTATTTTTTATTTTTATGTAAGCTGCTCGGTCCATAAACTCAGGCGCCGCCGCCTGAAAATGTTGGTTGGGAACAAGGACAAACGGCAGGAGAGCCGCCAGGATGGCGCGGCCCGAATCCCCGCACATTTAAACATTAGTTGGCAGCATTTGCAATTGTAATGACTCGCATCTAAAATGCAACCATCCGGTAAAATGTGTTGAGCTGGCTGGCACATCCTTCTCCTCATTCACCTTGCCAAAGGATGCGGCACAGGAGCCGAGACAGCTGCAATTAACACGGAAACTATTGCAGCGGGGTCATGGGGATGTGCTTCTCCACGAGCTCTATGAACTTTGGGCATTGGAAAGCATTTTGTTGGATGCAAATTAGGCGGAGATTAGGGAAAAGTTATCCAAGGCTGGGGCACCAGTAAAGGGTTGTTACTACCCTAGTAATTTCAGTGGGTATGCCATTATAACATTTTTATTTCACTTTGGAACTTTCTAAAATAGTCTAAATTATTATTAAGTTTCGCCATTTCAAAAAGTTCGGAAACTTTTAACATATTATTCGTTTTATAAAAAGTTTTCGAAAGAGCATAAATAAGTATTTAAATTAGAAAAGTTGTTAAAGAAGAGTTGATTTTATAGTTAACTTGAAGTTATAATTTTTTTAATTTTAAAGAAAGTTGATTTTAAGTTTTCTTGCTGTTTTATAAAGTTTTTATACTTTCTAGCTGCATTAAAATACTAAGCAATCTGGATAAAAACGGTATTATTTGAGAATCGTTTTAGATACCAGAAAATTTTAAATAATAATATTTATAAAATGTAATAATTAAAATGAATAAACAGCACTTCTGTTAGAATTCTATAATTACGTATTAAACCAACTTTTACAAAACTTCTTTTTCCCCAATTTAAACAATCGTAAGAATGTCGGGATAACCCATAAAGGCACAGCTTTTCAATTTTCCCTATAATATGGCCTGTGAAGTATCTGCATGAGATGCAGCAGCAATAACTCAAGAACTACGCAGAATTCCCCCAACTGACTAAAAGTATGGCAGCCATTTTTCGCAATCAATCTGCCAATCCGTGGCAGACGTTTTCCATTTACAAATGGCAAATAGCTTTTCGGGCTCTTCCGGCTTTCCAACCGGCGAAACACCAAAGTCACAGTTGGCGCGGTTCTCACGCTTCATTTGGCAGCTCAGGTAGAAAAAAAGCTGCTGGCTAAGCAATTTTCCCCCAATCAGTCAAGGCTGCAGCCACAACTCAACCCAACCACCCACACATCGAATAAAATGGTGGTGGCGAAAGGCAGTAAGCAAATAGTCCTTTGGCTTAAACGCTTCGAAGAGCAAACTTTTCTGTTCTCGCCGTCTCGTAAAATTGTTTGACTTTTATGGCGCAGAGTCTGTGAGTCGTCTGCGTTCAAGTTTCGCCCGAATGAATGATTGCAATGCCAGTCGACGATGGAAAAACTAATGTTTAGTACTCCAGAATCACCATTGGGGCTTAATTTAACTGGCGGACAGGTGGCAATGGCTCATAAAATCGAGTATATTTCTTGTACGTTCGAGCCATCACACTTTTCCAAATGAACTGTATTTTATTGCCTGAGACACACAAAAAACATTGGTCCATAAAACATGTTCTAGAGGAAAAGCTCACCAAATCAGAATTACGAAGAAACAAAACAGAAAATATGCAGGCTTTTTCCTAATTTTCCTTCTATAATAATAAAAACAAAGCCCCAATTTAATCATGTTAATGGTTTTAGGCTGAATACAATAGTTATTTATAGACAAGAATTACAATTAAGCTTGGCTAAATAATATGAATATTAAACACATTCATACGAGCATTTAAAATAATTTATGCACCCAGAAAAAAAAGAACGAAAAAAATCAAGAACATTTTTCATGCTTTGCGAACAATCCGTTCTCCTTTTTTTGTTCTCACATTTTGAACGTTTGTTCTCAAATCTTCCTAATTCAACACCAATATGTTCTAAAAGTGACCCCATTCGTTCAAAGCATTCCAGTAATTCGGTCAAATTTTATGAACAAGCGTTCATGAACTGACAACAAACGGGCTTACGCACTTTTTGACCCCGTTCGGGCTTGAAGTTTGAACGTTTCGAACGGATTTTTTTCTGGGTGTGGCTTCTTGAATTTATAACTTTGTATTCTCTGCATATTAGCGTCCCTGACCTCAAACATTTATTATATTTCACGCATTTATCCTTCGTAGGGGCAAGGATAGCTACAGCTACCAGCACAATTACGTGGATCGGGTGCGTTTAGAGGACACCACCGGCGGAGGAGGAGGAGGATATAGCCACCACCACCAGCAGCACACCGCCCATGATCCGAGGTGTCCGCAGCTGAGGGCCGCTGGCTGGAGACACACGCACAAGTCCGTTTCCCATCTTGACTTGGCCACCAGCTGTCACGATGCAGCTGGATCTGGCTTAGGTCGTCACTCGCAGCAGGCGAACCAGCACCACCATCAGCAGCAGAACCACCACCATCTCCACCACTCCACGCACTCCCACTCGCATCATCCGCACGCCCAGCCCCATTGGACGCAGTGCCAGGTGGGCGTGGCCGGAAGCGGAAACGGGCAGTTGAGGAACGCCCGATCGCTGGACTACACGCAACTCGAGCGGGAGGAGAACGCCTTGGACATCGCCGAGTTCTACTGGCGATTCGATGCGGAAGCTCCGCTAGACCAAGTCGATAGCTACGCGGGTGAGTGGCGGCCTTCGGGTGGACTGGGATCCACTCGGCCATATCGTTTATCGGAATTATTGGACTCGGATATCATAGAGATATTTAAATAGCCGCCGCCTAAGTATTTCAATTGTCTTGCTAATTATCATACAACTTTCATATGACATTGTTGTCTTAATTCAAAATTGTAGGTTTTTTCTACGAATATTTATTTTATTTACAAATATAAATAAATAAAGTGAGGCACATTTATTTGACCTAATAACCCACTTAGCGAAAAACTATTTGCAAATCAAAAGATAGAGTTGTTAATATTAAAAATCAAGCTTTAAGAAAGTCATCAGATAAGTGCTAATCTTGAATCATCAAGGAATTACACGAATGAGTACGACTTTTTGCTCTACATAAACAGTAATATTTTTCTAATTTGGAACTGAAAATATATTATAATATTTATTCTTAAAATAAAGTTAATTTTTAGTTAATTTTATAGACATTGCACATTTAATATTAGTATCCCCTTTCTATTTAATCCCCCTTTAGTACATCCAATAAACGACAATTTCGAGCCTTCGACAGCGACTCCGACGGCTGTAGGAGCAAAGGAAGCCACCACAACCGGCACCACCACAGTCTCCGCCAAGTCAAATGGTGGTGCAACTACCACCGTAAGCACTGCCGCTGCAAACGCCCTGCTCGATATTTTGGGCAGTGAGTCGTGCAGCCTAAGGAGATCGCGCAGCTTGGCCGTAATACGTGAGGAGACGTTTAGCGACCTGCAAATCGGATCGGCAAACAGCAGTCGGCGCCGATCGCAGCTAATACCGCGTGCCCGGCTCGTTAATCGCGGATTTTTCCGTGAATCGCCCCGGTAAGTGACTCAGAAACACTAAACTACACAAGTAATATTTGTACAGAATTACACATTTTTGGGGTACTAAATATTGGTACTATTACAACAAGATTAAATGGGATATATCAAAAAGTTTACATGTGATGTTACGCAAACGTGCCAACCAGTTAGGTAAATAATAGAATTTTACAATGATTTTGTAATCAACTATAACATAAAGTTTTCCGTTAAAATTATTCCAGCAATATTGTTCGAAGGTTACTTTTACTGATTTAAAATCACTGGGTTTTTCCGAATAATCCGTGATTTTTATTTATTTTTCGGGTAATTAAACATTATTTTCCAACGAATATAAAAAATTCTTTGATAAATTCTTTTTTGCTTTTTAAATAGCAAGGCTTAAACTTATAATTTAAAGAACTTTTTAAGCAGAACTGCGAAAGACTATCAAAGCTTTGCTTTGCTCTCGAGTGTTTAAGGCCCGGCCATCACGCATACGCCGCGTAAACACCGGGCTACTCAAACTGGGGTTTCAGTCGCCTCAGTCGTCAGTCGTTGAGCGACGCTCGCCGCAAAATCAACAGGTCTCGGCACAAATTTCAGTTTAAACAATTCAAAAAGCCGCCGGCCAAATTGTTGCGGTCGGTTTGTTGTCGCTGTTTCATTTTCCGTTTGTGCTGGTGGTGGATTCGGTTTTGGTGGCTTTTTCGTGTGGCCTTTTCTTTTTTTTTTGCTGACTCTGACTCTGACGGCCGGTCAGGGTCATTATCCCGAGGTCATTGTTGCATTAAGCTGCGGCTGTCGATTTAACCTAAGCCTGATTGGTGACAACTGCAGAGTCCAAACGGTCAAACGGTTAAGCACGTTACATAAGAACATTTAATTTTTATGAGCCCTTAAAATTTTAGTGTTGAAGTTGGATTTTTTTTTTTGGTTTATCTCGCTTAATTAAAATGGCAAAAGTTTGTTGTTTGTCAATTGTTTAGCCAGCTGATGATGTCTGAAGACTGGGGGAAATGTATGTCAGTGAGCTGGAAAAGCTTTTAGCTACGCGCTCCTCATTCAGCCATTAACACACACGTTATCCTGCGCATTCTGCGAATGACAGCTGCAGTCGCCGTTGCCATGGCTCTCGGAATCGTATCCTTCCTGCTCCGTCGCACTCTGTCCGCTATCGCCGTTTTCTCTCTTTTTTATTTAATTTGCCGCAAATCGTCGCGTCAAGTGGCTGGGTAAACTTTCAACCTCCCCGCTCGAGTGCAATGTGCAACTGAAACGGATCCGGTCCAAAGTGCTGGGCCCACACATCTCAACTTTGACGGGGGGAAAATTGAGGCTTATACTCAGAGAACTCTATTAGAGGGTTTTCAGACCGAGGGACTGATAAGTGAGCTCGTCTTAAATCAATAATAATAATAATTGCCGCAATTTTAGTAAATCTTAAATGAAATTGAATCGTTATTCGACTGAATATTACAAAGGTTGAGAGCAAAGCAATTGTATTTAATTTTTATGAACATTTGAAACCAATATGGAATAATTTATAAACCATTTTAATGTTCTTTATATAATAGAAATCAATGTTAAGGCTTGATGCTTGTTAATTTACAATGGAAATTGGAAACAACAAAGGCAAATACAATATTTAGTTTTAATGATTAATAAAGATGAATTCATATCTAAACCATAAAAACAAATGTGCTGGTATTTTATTTGTTATGTAAATTTAGAAATTTCATTGACTTGAGTTATTTTTCTCTGATTTTTTGAATAAAATCTAAATGATTTATTTTAACCAATGTCAACAATAATTTAAATTGAACTTTTTAATTTATTGCTGCAACATTCTGTTTAGAGGCATACCCCTACCTTCGTCACCGATTTGACACATTTAATTTCATGTTTGCCTCTACAACTCTATCAATCACCTGTCGCAGTTCTCCTTTTTTTTTTTTTTGCTGCAGCTGGCTGCCCATTTGAATGACAAACAAGAACCCACTTTGGCTGCCTGACATTCTCAGTTTGGTTGCTGTTTCTGTTTATTTATCTGATTTTGTGATTTGTGCGAATTGATTGATTGAGACATCACATGACTGAAAGCTTTTGCAATTGAGGGTCTTTGGACGAGGCTGTAGCCATTAGATGTAATTTAGTTATGATAGGTCGAAAGGCAAAACAATGGCATCATTAACGAGCCCATCCTCCCATTTCAGATTGAACGGCAAGTCAGCGAATCAGGCGACCTTGGTGGGTGAGCAGCCAGCGGATCAGGCGGCGGATGACACCCAGAGCACTTGCGATTCGCATCAGCAGCAACAGCAACACTTACAGCAGCAACAGCAACAGCAACATCAACAACAGCAGCAGCAACATCAGCGACATAGCCGCGAATCGCGTGACTTTGATGTCTACTATGATAATCTGAAACGCTTGGACGCCTTGGCTTTGAATTTGAGTGAGCAACTGCATCCTTGGCACAACGACAAGAGCGACTTGGAGAGCTTGAACTCGGATTACTTCAAGAACTCGCTGCACCAGAACTCCAATCATCTGGACCAGCAGCAACCTTCATCCCTGGAATTCGATGCACTCGAACAAGTGGCAGTTAGTTTACTAAAGGAGCGTCCCAGGATTTATCAATCCCGGCGGCAGCAGCAGCAAAGGAATCTCCATCACTGCCTGCAACGTCACCTGCAGGATACAGGAGGGGAATCCTGTCCGGAACACAGTCAAAGTAGTGTTTTCCCCGAGACAACCACCAGTAATTCGGATGATCAAACCGATAGTCCTTCGCTTTCGGAACAGGAATACGATTTAACGCACATCGAGGAGATTTACCATCAGGGTAATCAAGTGGAGGAGAGTTACGAGCTGATTAGCCTTACGACCACCACAAGGACACGTTTCGAGAGCAGTGAGGAGGGTGAACAGGAGGAGGAGGAAGAAGAAGGGGAAACCGGAGAGGAGGCTGTGGAAAGTCTGAACACGCCCACAGAACCCCAAACCAGCGATAGTGATAGCACCTTACGGGAAAGAAACCCCAAGGATCAGTTGGACAAGCTGATAGCCTACGATTCGGTTTATCTCTCCTCGGAAGACAGTTCAGATTGCACTTTAATCGGCGAAAGTTGCGAGTCCTTCGAGCAGAGAACTTTCACCAGCTGCGGGGAAAGTGGCGAGTTGGAAACACGCAGTTTACTACACATTTCCATTGAGGATACCGTCTACGAACCACAAGCGAAGCATAAGAAGGGTTTGAATCAGGAAGAACAACCTGCTTCCCTGCTAACGGCACAGATCTTCACACAGGTCCTGAAAGTAGAACATACACCCAAACCCAAGATCCTGGCAGCAGTGGAAAAACGCAAACTCAAGCAGGAGGAAGTCAAGCAGCAGCAGCAACCGCCGGAACTGAAACGCCAGGCCACCGACTCCTTTGTCCTCGTCACTGCCAATCCCAAATCCAATCTCACAGAGAATCAATACCACAGTCTGCCGGATGTTAACATCGGAGTAAGTCTGAAGGTCTGCGAGAATATAGACAAGGAGCTGCGATCGTCGTACAACCAACAGAGGCAGCAGCAACGCAAGGAGGCCAAAAAGGAGCAGCAGGTGGTCACTCGGGCGGAGACCTACGATTCCATTAGACGCTTCGGAAGGGCCCATCAAAAGGCCAGGCAGAGGGAGTACCAGGAGAGGGAAAGGGAACGCGAAAGGGAAGTGGCTCTACAGGATAAGGAAAAGGAAAGGGAAAAGCCAAAGATAAACAAGGAATTTTTCGCACAGGAGCGGCAAATTGAAGTGAAGGAAACGTCAAAGACCCGAGAGTTAATCAAGGAAAAAGAGCAAGTTACAAAGGAGCAGGAGCAGGAGGAGCAAGAGGACGAAGAGGAACCACTGCCACCACCGCCGCCACCTTTGACCGAGGAATCTCAACCGGAAGATTCCACAGCGGAAGCGGAAGAGGAGGACAATCTCTCCGTATCCATTGCACAACCGGAACAACCCAAGGAAGCGCCCAGCGTCATTGAGGTGGCCAATTTCAGCCGGCTAATCGAGCGTCGTGCTCAGGAAATCCGCGAGCGACAGGAGCAAATTAAGCCATCATCGTCCTCCTCCTTTCACATCATCGTCACCGACGCCCAGAACAATATCATCCAAAAGGAGGCCATTCAGGAGAACCGAAAGAGCGAGGAAACCAGCCAGAGGATTAATCCAAACCAGCCGAAAACAAATTCAAATTCAAACTCAAACTCAAACGCAAACACAAACTCATCTTGTAATCCCATTCAACGTCCTCTGCGCCGCTCGGCGAGTTCTTCGAGTGGCAAACCGCTGGAACATCGCATCCTCAGCTCGGGTGCTCCAATTTACAAGGCTCGACCTGTCAAGGTTCTGCCCTCCTCCTCCTCCGGCAGCTGCGATTCGAGGGGCAAAATGTCACGACCCCAGATACTGCATGTTGTGGATGGCCGTGGCAAGGGAGACACCTCCCTGCGCAGGAGGAGCAGTGCCAGGAGCATAGCGAGCACAATTAGCTCGGCTGGCGGTGAGGTGGCCAATGAGTATCTGCAGAAAGTGGATGCAGTGCGCTGCTATTGGAACAAGCTGGCGGGCAATGAACCAGAAACACTAAAAACAGACCAGCCAGCAAAGGAAACCCAGCCAGGCATTCACTTCCAGTTGGGCGGAGAGACCACGACCACAATACATTGTACGGATAAATCCCCGCCGGTTGGCAATGATTTCTGCAGCATGATGCCGCATCCCTCGATTGAAATTGTTGAGCTCGGCGAGGGTGCCCAGAAAGCCACCATTGTAAAGGCGGCCCCCGAACAGGATGATGATGATCCCGATGAGGATCAGGATCAGTTCGATCACATAAGGTACAAAGTTCTAAAGTCGCAACAGTTGATACGAAATAACTTTCTCTCTACGAGAAACAAAAAGGAGGCCCAGTTCGATGGTTTGATACAGTATCTCCAAGAATACAGTTTCCAAGAGCTACTGAGCAATAATAATGTGGTGATTGTAGAACCGGTGAGGACCAAGATTGAAAGACCTCTGCAGGTGGGGATCAGCAACACTGCATCGACTGTTCCTCCGCCGAAACCGCCAAGAGTGGTGAATGCCTCGGGTTCTCAACCACGAAAAACACGGCAAAGAGCTCCCGGAGGAGCTGCTGCCAAAAGGCATTTCTTCTACCAACCTGTGAGGGTTAATAGAGAGCTCTACGAGGATGAGCTACCAGATCCCGATACAGTGCGCAATGTTCGTCGCTTCTTCGAGCAGAATGTCCTACCAACTCCTGGCCAGGGATTACTAGTGCAATCCCAGCAAAAGTTTGGTGGCTCCGCCTGTCAGCTAAGTCCCAAGTCCCGCAGGGCTAGGGGCTACCGATACCTGACCATCGACACGAGCTACGGCGGATCAGCTGGCGAGGAGCAGCCCAAGGGAATGGAGCTGCTGGAGGAGCACAAGGCCAAGCACTGGGACAATGCCAGCCTGTCGAGTGGAATTTCCAGCGGTGATTTAAGTTCCCCCTGCGGGGAGTATCACCACCATCATCATCATCATCAGGAATCACCGGTGATGGCCTGCAAGGATGTTCATGTTCAGGACGTTGTTCGGCGGCACAATAGCAATGCTGCCAATGCCAAGGCTCGAGCCAAGTTCGCCAGCCGACGCACCTGGTGCATGGGATCGGGAGGAACTGGTGGCCCTGCAGGAGTGGGAGCAAATGAGTCCCTTTATCGGCAAATTTATGAAAATAATTTGGGGAATGCAGAGCAGCAGGAGAATGGCGAGCATCTGGAGGAGGAGGAGGACGACGAACAGGATGACCAGTACGAGGACGATGTGGAGCAGGATATGTGCGAGAATTATTACGTCAGCAATGTGAGTACACAGAAAGAAACGAAAGTATTGGAAAAAATAATTAAGAATTGTTTTTTTAATAATACAAATCATACTTTAAATACTTTTTTAATTATTTAAATTTTTAATTTATTTTATTGTCTTTATTTAACTTAATAATTTTTGGTTCGTAATTCATAAAAAGTGATTTGAATTTTAAATTCTATATAATAGAGATAATAATAATTTTGTATTAGATGGGACAAAAGCTAATTAATCTTCTTTCAATGAAGGCATTCCATTGTCAACATGAATTTTTCCTACTTTTGACTTGGTTGCGTAAGCCTAATCTTTTTTTTTTTTTGTATCTGTATAGCCTTTGGGGCGCGGCCCTTTTGCGTGTGGCTTTATGGACCATTAGCCTTTGATGGGAACCCGTCGACTAATCTTTTCCTCTTTCCTTTACAGGACGTGCTGGCCAAGATAAGGGAGTGCGGCTCAACTGTCACCTACTACGGAGGACGGGTTCTGGACAAGACCGCAACCGGCAACGCAGTTCCGCCCACAAAAACCACTCAGCCAATGACGGGGAGTGGAGCCCGCTCCCGAATTCGGCAAATAGAGGCCTGCAATGTATGCCTGCCGAGCGAGAGATGCGAGCATCGATTGCAAACCAAACAATCGGCAGCAGAACAGCAGCAGGACTCGTATCAAGGTGGGTGAATCGAATCTTCCTTGTCATGTCCCAAAATCATGCTCATAATTGGTTGTACATGGAGAAAAATAATAATGCCAAGAAAGAATGGCCTTTAAAATCCAAAATTAAAATTCCCTATTTTAATAGAATTCTTGGTTTATATTTAAATTTGTTTATTAAAATTTTTAAATGCTTAAACATTTAATGATTAATATGCGAATTTAAAAGTACTTAAAAATAGAAGCAAAGAGCTACTTAAAATATTATCTTTAAACTTTCCTTACATCTTTTAATGAACAAAACTTTTGTTTACAACGTAAATATTTTAATAACTTTATCCCCGTACACGAATGACGAGCATAAAACCCCCGACAATGACAGCATAAAACTGATATGATTCTGGTTTTTCTTTCACTGTGGCAGGCATCAAATTTAAGCTGGTCAAGTCCAACAGCTGCAGCAGTCGCCTGGAGTTGGCCGGAACCGGAGATGAAGATGAGGTCAGTGCCGATAGCGAGGTTGTTCGAAAAATGGTTCATCACTTCGAGGCGAATAGGACGACGGCGAGTGCGAGCAATGATGTCCAACTGACCATCAACAGTCAGAGTCAGATAACGTCGACGAAGGAGCCGCAGGAGATGGGGATGGAGGATGAGGCATCGCGACGCCAAGTGACAGTAAATAATCACATCAATGTGCTCGGAGGGAACAATGGGCCCCAGGAGCTCGAGAGGGCTGAAAACTTTAATGGTCAGCCGGAGAATGGTTATGGCGCCGTGGAGTGTATGTTGCCCACATACGAAAGTCAGGCCATGAACATTCGCCTCGATGTGCCGGAGCATAAGAACATCCTGCAATCTGCTACTTCTGCTGCCAACAAAGTTTGTCGCAATAAAAACGTTGACTTGGCCTACACGCTGGTTAAGACAACGACAAATACTCCCAAGGGCAAGCCGCCCATCGAAGCTCCGCGCCAGAAAATTGGAAAGCAACAACAAACGCGAGAAGTGGAGAAGGAGGAAAATGGCAAAATAAATGCCGTGACAAAGACTGTCAAGCTGACGAAGGCCGCCAGCACAGCACAAATCATAGTGCCCGTGGATATTCACAGTCAGGCCTCGATAGTTGCAACCGTGGCTCCCATTCCCGAGCGTCGATTAAGCAATGCCAGCAGTAGTAACTCTGTGGTGGACAAGTCTGTGGTTCGGCACTACGTGGCCAATGATAAGAGCATCTATGAGCGTCGCAAATACGACGAGATAGAGTTCGAGGAGTTTGAGGTCTACGATCCCAGCAAGGAACCACCACCTCAAGTGGAGGAGGGTGCCGAAAAAATACCCACAGATGCGGAGCTCTACGACAGTCTTGATGACAAAATGTAATCCATAATTTAATTAGAGCTTGAAACATCTTAATGTCGGAAATATCGATATTTTTCAAGCTCTATAAATAATGCTCAAAAAAACTTCAAACAGCAACAACGATTTCTTGGGGTTTTGGGTTAGAGCTTAAATCAAAAACACATCTCTTAGTTAACCATATTGGTAGCCTAATTAGCTTTACAGGTAAAGCCAAAAGATTATACCATAAACACTATCCAAAGTATGACGCATATACCTATATATTATTTAAATTTAATTTGCAAACAACATTTGTTCACCTGTACATTATAAATTGATGCTTAAATAAATATGCAATTTATTTAACGAGCCGTGACAGCTGTCGACTAATTATTTATTATGCATTTCGTTTACAGAAGCCAAGGGGCAGCCCGCACTATTTCATTACTAAAACTATCTATCACCTTTTGAAATGCAGATAAATGAGAGACCACGACGGCCACTAATTGGCCAAACTAATCTGTAATTAATCGATTATTTATAGACTTTTGCAATTTAGAGCAAACACTTAATGGCGATAATAAAGTGATTAGAAAGGGGAGAGGCGTTTCGTCGCCTAATCAATTTCGTTTTAAACAATCAGACTATGCATTTGGTAATGTTTGCCAATTAAGACGTTATTGACAAAGCCATGATACAATAATTTTGGCTGTTGTTAATTAATTAAAATTCTTATTAAATTTGTATCTACGTTGTCAGTTAATTTATTATATCTTACCGTCATGCCTTTTCATTTTTGTTTTCTTCCTATTTAGTAATTGTTTATTCTTTCTTTTTCTTGTTTTTTTCTTGAGTGGAGAAAGATTACCTTAGGAGAGAGATATCTTTAAAATCAGTCATCCCCTTAATGACAAACTTACATAATTCCCTTTTAGTAGGTATTCTCTTTTGGTTTAAACATGTTCGTTTCCTTTTTCTCAAATTGTTTGTCTTGCTAACTTCTTTACACTTTATATTTTTCACTTGTTGTAACGCCTTAAATCGTTTAATTCTTATTATCAAATTGGAAGTTCTGTTAAGTTCTTGCTCCCTATAAGGATTAGCAGCTTCGACAGACGGTAAAAACTTTTTACACTTTGGATCCCTTCTCTTAACTACATGATGATTGGATTTCGATTCCTTTTCTTTCGCTTTACCCTCATCTTCTGCTCGCTCATCCACATGTTGACTTGAACTGTGACCTACGATGGGAATGATTGATAAGCTTGCATTTTGCACCCTCCCACAAAGTTGTCAAATCCGATCAGTTATCCGCATTAAAGGAAAATATTTACAAAATATCTTCAAGGTAAATATCTCCCCCAAATTCCCACTCACTCACCTCCCGTCGCTGGGTTTTTATGCTTGTCCGACTTTTTGCCACCGCTCGTCTCATCATCCTCCGCCGTGGATGCGAAGCTTCTGTGCTGCTGAAGCTCATGACCTGGCCGTAAGTGCTGAAGGGAAAAAGAGAAGAGAATATTTGCAAATTAACATTAATGACTCCATTTCGCATTATTGATTGTGGTTTAAATTGCCCATAGATCTTGCTACTGGCAAAAAGCGCTCAGTGGCAAGATAATGCATACGTATAAAGGTAAATTATAAGCCTACGCCATTCTAAAGTATAACGATAACATCACCGTGCTTGTGGGAGTGATTGTAAGGGAGTGTTTCTTAGGGTGAACCCGATTTTAATTTTAAACTAAAATATAACAGGAATTGCATAGATTCTACGTTATGATTTATGATTGAAAAAACAATATATAAATATACTATTTTGAAATATATTTCAACAAATAATGTAAAATAAGATAAATAGATTTATTCTTATCAAAATGACACAGTAACATGGGCTTTAACAAAATTTGTAATTTATTTACAAAATAACGATATAAAATTAGTTATTTAAAACTATATTTATGCACACATTGCGTATGAGTAATAATATTTGAAATAATGCTCATACGCATTGTTTCTCTGTTAAAAACTTCTCACTATAACATTTCCCTTGGGAACTCGAGAGCTTTAAAGTTCATCCTAGTTTACTTAGTAAATTCGTCTATATATTCAGTAGCTCCCACTTCTTTTCACATTTTAGACTGGCATTCTTTGCATGTTTCAGCGCTAACTAATTAAGTTAAAATGCTCCCTAGTGAAATCACGTGCTCCCCATAACGAACGACGAAAACGACAACGAGAACTGGCACTCAAAACAAAAAAAAAAACACAAAAAAGAGAAGAGGAAATGAAGGAATGGAAAATGGGATGCGTAAATACAGTTATTGTTAGGGCCACATGGATGTGGCTTTAACCCACAACCCGGTCTCTGGTCTCCGTCTGCCACTTTTCTTTTACAACTTTTTTGTATTCGTTTCCTTCTGCCGGTAACGTTGCGTATGAGTAATCACACACACGCACACACAAACACTCGGGGGAGGACACAAATGGGTAAAGGAAATCGAAACCGTAACCGTTTACCTTGTCATTTTACCAACAAAACAAGTCAGGTCGTTTGGGAGGATTTCAAAGTTGAGAAATTGTCATCATAACACTTTGAACAGAAAACCACGTAGGAACTAGAAACACTTTTAATAAAAATATTAGTTCTAAGCATTCTATTTCTGAAAGCTAAACTTAAAAATTCATAAAAATAATTCTGCCACAATAATAACACATTTATAAAACAGAAAATGGCAGAGAGATTATTAAAAGAAATTTGAAAATTATATTATAAATTATGAACTTATAAAAAGTTTTTATATAACCATGTATCTCCTTTTATTTATTTAATGCTTGCTAGTAAAAAGTACAACATGGCAAACTAAACTGTCCCAAAGGTAATCGTAAAAAGTCCCTTAAATGTTACAAAATAAATTCAGCAACAAATCCCATAAATTAAACTTAGATTCAAAGTGACATTAAAAATCCATTCCGACAGTTCCATTTCCTTTAGTTATTCAAACTCACAACACAGAAATATATCCAAAACCACCCTCGCAGTTTAAGCTCGAGCTTGAAAATATAAAATAACATTGCATAATTTTTGGTGCAGCTGTCAAAATGGGAGCATAAAGATATATGCATACGTTTTGGACCCCGAATTGGAGAATTGCGGCATTTCTCATATGGTATGCACGTGTTGTGCGCCGATTTCAACTTTTACTGATTGGATTTCACGCTTGGCTCCAATCAGGCGCTTCAATAATTCAGGCCCTTCGAACGGCGGGGCGTTTGAAAAATGTAGCGAAATCAAATGTTTCCCACGAGTAATTGAAATTTAAATGGCAAATAAATTCCCCAGGACACGCCCACGCAGTCCATAGATCAAATTTTGTTAGCCTGCCTTTCCGCAGAAACTTTGCTGATTTGTTGCCGCGCATTATTGATGGACTTTCTTGTTGGCCAAATGACAATGCTATGGAACATTTCTGACAGTTGGTCAGTGAGTTTCTTCCACAAATCGCGTCTAGATGCTGAGACACTGGGGCAGACCGGAGGGCAAAAGCAAAAGTTATGACCCCCGACGAGCTGTCAGCCGGCAAACATTAGGCGGCACATAAATTTAACAAGCTCCGACAGCCCCAAAAAGAAATCCCAGTTCCAGCCGGATAGTATGCCACTTTTTTCTTATGGTGGCAAAACTTTTTACGATCATCCGAATAAATTGAAATCGCAGCTCAGCTTAGCTCAGCTTTTCCCTGAGATGAAAATGAAAATGTAATTTTATAAATTACACCTGCTGTTTTTCCGGGGAAAATGATAACCTAAAACTTGTGACCGCAACTCGAGGCAAATCATTCAAGTTAATTTGTTTCGTTGGAGCAGCTTTAAAAGGTGAAGGGACAGATGTATGCAAACATCCAACATCCTTGGCCTCTGCGTGCGACATGTTGCGGCAATTGTCTCTTAATGAGCCCGACAATGTGACCACGTGCGGCGCCCTGATGGAAAAACAAGGCAGCCAGGACGAAAAGGCTCTCAGAATAGGGGAAAAACAAGTGGAGGCCCGGGCCCATAACAATAAACAAAGGCGAGCCGAGTGACTGTCTCTCTCCGGGTTCCTCAAATCTTTTTCGTCTGGAAAACACCGAAAAAGCCAAAACAAAAATGCCTTCCAACATTAGAGATAAAAATAAAATTACAGTGGTTCGTGTAATTTGCATAACATTTTCATTTCTCACTGGATACTGAGGAGCGCCCTTAAATTTATTCAAATTGTTTTTCTTTTTCATATTTTAAAGCAAGCTAAACCGCCAAATTTAAGTGAATTGAAATTAAATTTTAAGAGGCTTTAAGTTATCCTTATTTTTTTAGGCAACTTTATTTCATTTGCAACTCAATAAAAATTTTTGAAAAATCTGGAAGATGAAAATAAATATACACAGCATCTTGAAATTAGCATATCAATTTAATTTATCTGAATCTTTTGAATGATTTAAATTGCTTTGCATATTTGAAGACATTGTGGCCCCATTTAGAGAGTATAAAAACTTTGTGAAACTTCCCAGCGAATTTCTAAATTGATTGAAATTAAATTTTAAGGAAAGTTGCCGCTGGTTCAGGAAGTCATGCAAGCTAGAAAGTTGTGAGACAGGCGAAACCCTAGACAACCACTCGCCTTTCAGCCCTTTGTTCTTCGCCAACAAAGTCGCGTGTCAAGTGCTGCATTCCTGGGCTTCTGGCCAAGAATAACATGCCGCCGAGCATATTGTTCTTCAGGCGTTTGATTGTCTCTGAATGAGCTCGTTAAGTCGGGCCAAATGGAATAATGAATCCCCATCAAAGCAATTTGTCGAACCGGTTGAAATGCAATTGAAGTTTCGCTTTCGCGCACAGATATTTTTTATAGCCCGTAAAAAGGAGAATCCTCCTCCTGCAGGGCAATTTATTATTTAGAAATTGAGGCTGCCGGCAATGAATCATAAAAAATAATACGAGTGAACAAATCGCCGAGAAAATGAGATTAGTGAAAGGACATATCCAAGGATCCAAGGCGAGGACAATCTGAAGCTCAAGGAAAATCCCCGTAACATCTTAACAGCAACTTAAGCCACGTCGATAAATTTCTATAAATATATTAAAAGGAAAGGCAGAGAGAGAGAGAGCTAATAAATTAGACACATGTTCACAGCAGGCAGGGGAATTTTTCGTAGGTTTTTGTTTTTTTCATTGCCGCTTTCTTCAGAGTGAATAGATTTGCCAGAAAAGATTTTCTGCAAGTAAATATTTAGCTGAGAAAAAACAGAGAAAAATAGATAAACAAGTTGGGGAGCACAAACACACAAATACGCAGAAACAGACATTGACTATCAAAAATCATCAGATAC